TCCAATTACGATCAGTTTTAAATCTCCTATATTTTAAGAAACACGTATCACGCAATTTCATCAAGAGTTTTATATTACAACCAAGGTGCAGGGGTAACACAAATAGTTTTATATGGGGCATGTATATTGAAAATTTTAAGAATGTTATCATTGAAGAACTCTACCATGGCATTAACATCATCAAAATTATGTAGAATTTGCCAATTAAAAGAGTTTAAGTCATAAATAAAACGATTGTAATGAAAATGCTTGCAATCTCTAACCGCGATGAATAAAATTTAGTTTTACTAATTTTTAATTTTCAAGCGACAAGGCAATAATCAGAGATGTCATTCATATTTATGACCTCAGTATCAGACGTTATATCAGTATTGTTAGTTATGATATAATCATTGAGAGCACTAGAATTAGGTTTTACACGGGTGGGACTAGTAATAACAATGTAATAATGTTTTAATTTTAACGCAACAACTTATCGAATTATGTATGACCAGGTGATGGAGATTAACTCTAATAATGTTTTATTGTAACGTGTGATGGTAATTCACAGGGTCTAACGACATTTAGAGTGTACGATAATTGAAGAAACAGAGAAATCTAAAAAAATAGATGAATTTGGAATTGAAGATGAATTTTTCGAGACAAAACGTATGATTCTGTTAGGTGTCTTGAAGGCTTGCAAAAAATGTAATAACATTTTCCCATGGTTGTATTTAAAAAAATGAAGTTGATGATGGTTCTGGAGAGACGAAACGTTACATATAAAAATTGATTATGTCATTCTATAGAGGGTAAAAAGTTGCCGTGAGAAGGTGTTCCTCTTTTTTCCATCATCTCAAACAATGCTAAAATGAAACAAAAACGGATTTCCAAAATTTCGTTTTTTTTTTAATATTTCGAAAACTAATGATGTTAGCTTTGATTTTTTAGTAGCATAATGTTGGTCACCTGATTATGCAACTTTACCCCCATTTAAGCTACTTCGTATCTACTACCATTTCCGAGATCTTTGTAGTGAGAAGCGAATTTGTAACAGCCTATATAATTTTCCAGTTCATTTAAACATTCACTCAAATTCGTTTTAGGAAGTCTGTACACCGTTTCCAAGCATATCTATTTACCTGAAATACAGAGAGATATCCATAAATGTTCTAAGGACGAGGTAGGCGCACCTGGCGGTTGAATTTTTCTAAACTCAATGATCTCGTTAATGTAAAAAGTTACATCACCGGCCCTTGTAACGCCATCGCAACTATTTAATTTATATCCAGCAATTGCAGAACTATCAATGTTCGATTCCAACTAAGTCTCGAATAATCCTAAGACATCAAATCGATACAAAGTACTTAAAAATTCATAAAACAACTGAAACCTTGAAAAAGGAGACTGCACTTTAAAATCTCCCAATTGTATGCATTTTTGGTTCATAACAAATTTATTGGGTTTTTCCTTTCCTTTAAGCTCCCAAAGTTGTTCAAGTTAATTTAAAAGAATTGTGTATTACATATTAATGCTAGTAAGTAACAATGTTCATATTTTTGTAAATATTTGCCATATGGCTAAAAAACAACCTCAACAAAAAGAGGCTTGCAAAAACTAGATATATCAGTGTATTTATACATAGAAGAAAAGAACCGTACATTTAAGCCTATATAAATTTACCACATTAAAATCCTCACAAGGAATGGAACTTTAATTAAAAGAGTAATAATATACATAATACTATAGGATATGCATAGAAGTGTGTTGACTATATGAATACCTGATTCAATATACAAGTAAAGCTGAATGAAGAATGCAATCTTGAGTAGTTAAACTTAATGTCACTATTCAATATGAATTTTCTATTTTCTGGTTCGATCCACACGAAAATCTTACCCTGAGATGACCAAGCTTTCTGTTTCCCGTATTTGTTCTTGGCAACGAACCACTAGACACTTATTTGTAAGTTTTAATTCTTCACGATAATATTTTAACACCGACAAATTATTTTCTAAACGGAATATATTCTCATTCTTATCGACGTAATGGATGTTAATTTTAATACACGAATATTTTTATTTGTTATTTTAATGTATGTCAATTTCATTAAAATAAATTTTAATAAATCGAAGTTCAACGCGTGAGGAGCTGATAAGATAATCGACTGCACCTGAATAAACGAAAGTAAATGAGGCCTTTCCACGCATCTGCCAGCTTTTATAGGCGTCGCGTACGATTATTTCCGGTTATAATCGGTTATTTCTGAATATATCCGGTCATGGTGTCAACGGGTGGGTTCGTACCGTTCGTATAATTAGACTTCGAGCTAAACGTTGCGACGCAATGTCAACGGGCGGCTTTTTTGTTATAACAATTATGGGTTGAATAGTGATGTTCGGGTGACCTGATAACACAAACCTTGAGAGTCACGAAACTCGCAGATGGCGGGTTCTATCTCCACTGAGATAAAGTTGAAGAAGTGATAGTAATGCCAGAGCAAGAGAGAAACTTTAAGAGTTTAGTTGAGGCTGGAAAACAATTAAAAAAAAATTTTTGAAAATATGTCAGGCGCCAATAAATTTTAACATGAATCTACAAACTTAATATTTCCCTAACCGGATTACTCTTTGATCTAGGTCAGGTATGGATGCAAAAGATTATTAAAAATAAATTCTTTTATTAATGAACCTGTAAGATAAGAAAAATAATTTCTGAAAAAATATTTTTCGGTAAAAATGAGTTGACTGAGCTCTTGAGAATTCAAATATTTTATGAAAAAATAAAAATTATTTGGGAAAAATAATTTTCCTGTTCCAAAAAAAATTTTTGAGTTTTGATAATTTTGGTTTCAAAAAAAAATATTTTGTAAAAAGTTATTAAAAAGGTGCTTTATAGAAAAACAGTTTCTTGTATAAAAATATTAAAAAATATATTACAGGAAATAAATGTACAGTGTATTATTTTTTCAATAATATGAAAAATAAAGTTATTAACAATATTTGTGTTTAACTTTGTTAACTTAATAAAATAGAAAAGAAATAGAACCTAATTATGGATTATTCTACACTAGAAAATCCACAAAAGATCAAATACATAAACAACCAAAGATTGTAGAAAAAAGAGTACCTTGTATAATGAAATGAACTTTTACCATTGTTTCTAAGAAAAATAAATTAAATGATTTTTAAAAAATCGCGGGTTTTTGCTAACCACTTTTTATGTAATCCTCGGTATAATCCGTTCTCGTTTTTCCCGAATCACAAAAAAACTAACTTTGTTTAAACAATAGTGGGCCTCAGCACACTTTGTTACTATACTAAACTTCTGACGGGGATTATTGTTATTAACGGAGATTTAACGCTTTAACAATAAACTTTTATTGCTAATTACTGATAATTGCAAACTAACTTTTTGTTGAACACCGTAGGCCGTATTTCGGAGATGAATTAACTCGTTGAAGGCTAATGAAAAAACTGATTTTACCACTAAAATTTCATCCCTTTTATATGATAATTTTAGGTCATTAAGAGTCATTTTTGCTAAAAAAACTACGCAGTTAGCAACTACGCAGTAATTGCACACAGTAAGATGACATATTTTTTATTATTGCATCATCTTTTCCCGAAATTAAACCGATGCTTCCAAGTAAGCCAAATACTCGATTCTGATTGGTCCGCGACTAGATATAAATATAAAAGTGGTATAAAAACGTAAGACGCAATTTCGCGCTGTTCATTTCATCGTAGCCTTCGGGTCTACAACAATGGCTCCAAAAGCATATGAAGCACTGAGCGGTTAAATCTATTTCACAATATCGCATCACATTCCGTAACATTGCGTCATCCACAAGTTCCCACGACAGAACCACAGTTGCAGATTTAAACTTGCTTAAAAGTCAGACAAAATTCCAAGAAAAGGGTAATAAATAAGTGATCTTTCATAACACGTATTTATACGTAAACATTTAATTGTATATGTAATATTTATGTTAAAATAATCAAGGCTAACATATTTGTTTGTGTTAAAGTCATGTTTCCGTATATAGCGAGTAGATTTTTTATAAAAAGATTGCATGCATTCAATAAGATAATTCCCATTTCAAAGCAAACGCTAAACTGAAAGACTAACACTACTGTCAAAATTTACTTCGAAATGAGGCTTATTACCATTAACATTTTTAGTCAATATAACTGAAGCTGTTTTTCGAATATTATGTTATCAGATTGTTTAGTTATTTTAACATCTTATCTGTAATGAGTCATGTGTGTTTGTATAAAGACTGTAACAGGTCAACATTTCAGGATGCTTATGTCACAAATTAAAAATTAAGTGTTCTTCTGCCATATAATAGAGATACTTGTAGTTCTTTAGTCAAGGTCTACAGAAAGATTGAGGAAAGAATAGACTTATTTTTGAATATTTTATCAGCCTTTGAATTTCTGTCCCAAAACACTATTGTAAATCTTCGTATTCTTTGTTTAGCTGATTTTTTGGAAACATTCTAATCTAAGCCCGGTAACACATTAGCGAATGTACCGCGCGACGCTGCCGTGGCATATATTTTTTTAAATTGCGGTTCTACCGAGTCATATTATGATCTTATTTATTTCTGTAAAAAAATGGATTTTGTCATAGAATTCAATGGCGTACGTTACACTTTTTATGACAATGAAATTGTAATGGGAAATAATTTTTATTGTAAAAAAATGTTGTGTAGTGAATAGACATGACTTAATTTCTGAGTACAGGTGACATGACCCTTCGTAACAGTGTAGATGACACTGCCATTCAATTAAATTTTTTGATGACAGGAACACAGAAAATGGTCCTCGTGTAAAACCATTAATTCTGAGTAACCTTTGCATTATAAACAGTTTTAGATAAAAGAAATTTTCTTCAAAATAAATTTAAAAAAATAGGTGCTTTGGATTTTTTTACATACATAAGTTGCGCCGGTTAAAAATAAAATGATAATAAATATTATTTTATCCATCTTCCAGTTTGATCAGTAATTGTTTTTAGGTTTCTTTTGTTTTTAATAAACTTTTGATGGGGACGATGAGGACGACGATGACTACTATAAGGACAACGACAATGACGACAACGATGAGGACGACGACGACGATGGGAACGACGATGAGGATGACGACGATGACGATGTATTTACAATCTTGACGAAGGGCATTACATGTATGTACCATGCACTTCCTTTGACAATGGATTTGCCTCACTAAGGTTGATTGTTTATATTTTCAAATATATTTTTAGTAATATTCTCGATATTAATGTTTTTATCTTATATTATATTATATTATTTATAGCCCTGATTTTATATAAACAAAAAGATTATTTCATTAATTCATTTACTCAAGTAATGGTCGAAACAATTTGTTTTAACTAAACTTATGTTGCGTTGCCTTGTAAACTACAATAAAATTAAAAAATTTAAATAAATACATGTACTAACCTTGATCAGTTGTAGCATTTCCGTAACTACCTGGTTTACAATGCTGACAAAAATCACCCATTGTGTTATCCATACACTTCTGGCAAATTCCTTTACCTTCGGGACAAGCTGAGTGATTATTGCAATCACAGTTGTTGGAACAGTCATCTCCATACCAACCAATATCGCATTTACATGCATAATCAGGTTCCCCTTGACAAATCCCATGTACACAAACATTGAAACAAGTGCGTATGCATGATGTCCTTCCATCTCCAATATATCCTTTTTTACAATGACAACTAAAGGAACCATCCGTATTGGTACATATTGCTTGTGTGTGACAATCATGCAATCCTAGACCGCATTCATCAACATCTGGACATTGAGCGTAAGCCCACTTCACATCAACACTATTTAATATTTCAGAACAATTTGTGTGGGGATTATTAAAATCTCCTTGAACACAAGCTCCTACAAAATAAAGTTGCATTTTACATGAAAATTAATTCTATAACTTTTCGCCTGATGTTTTATATTTTCATATGAGTTGTAATAACTATCATGTTTTTAAATAAGTAAAAAACTAAAATCAGGCAAATACAATAAATATTCTGCTTTTATATATAATTAATTGATTTCCATTTAAAGTTGCAAATAAAATACAGATAGAAGTTAAAGGATAATTTAATTCATTTGTTAATAATATTATTTGTAGGTAGATGTGTCTTGTAAAAAACACTAAAGTTGTAACTCTGCAACTTTTGGTTCGATTTCAAAAAACAAATATTGACGGTAATGGCTTTAATAGTATATTACGTAATAAGTGTTGTAAAAAGCATTTTACGCACGAATGGAAAAGTTACGCACGACGCCGCGTAGCGGCGAGTGCGTAATTCTATGAGTGCGTAATTGCATTACACCACGTATTACGTACTATACTTTACCTACGACCACTACTTTAAATGCTTAAAAACACACCGTCTGCGATCAATGCAAGATTCCTCTTACATCATACGGTAAAAAAATCGCACAGCTTGGTAAAAATATCGCACAGTTTTCCTAGCAACCGCCTAGCAACGGTCAATACAAACAGTATTGTATTGACCATTGCTAGGCGGTTGCTAGGAAAACTGTGCGATTTTTTTACCCTACGTAATAGGAATCTTACATTGATCGCAGACGGTGTGTTTTTAAGTATATACAGTAGTGGTCGTAGGTAAAAATATTAAACTGACACTTTTTCCTAATCTGAAAAAATACATTTTTGTGAATTTGGTAAAATACAGTGTGTAACTTTAAGTGGGGGTCAGTGTTTAGGGGTACTAATATGGATTCCCCTGAATACGAATCTGAAATTCTTTAACCAAATAAATAATCGAGTTATAATTAGTTTTTTAAAATGCACTTCCATTTGGGATACCCGAAATTTACGTATTAGAACACAGTCAATGTTGCCAGTTGTTTTTAAATCTACCTACATTGTGGGAAGTGCCAATGAAAAATCAATTGGTAAAACAGATTGCTCTTGTATAACTTAGCGACATGTCATTTTTAAGTCACCACATTTTTTTAATATCACTGGTCGAAGCGCTCCACATAAAAAATTCTATTATTTCTAAAAAAACATTTTACATGATTTATAATATAATATTAACTAATATATGATACGGAGATACATTACTAATTGTAAATATTATTTAAACAACTGTTAGACAGCGAAGCTCCTAACATAAATAAACTGTTTTTAAAAAATTTAAAAATTTTACATGATTTATTAAGTTGTAGAGAAGACTACTATCCACCAAAATAAACTCACACAAAGTATTAACCAATACTAATCTAGATTACTAATTGTAAATCAAACTGATTCATATTTTAAAATATTTATTTTCGCTGTTTTGAAAAACGATCTGACATATGAAATATATTTTTTAAATCGCTTCAAGTTTTGATAAACAATTAAGTATTTTTTAAAGCAGTGTATGTATTTGTGAATCTCAGTGTCAATGACATCTGACATTGATCTAGTTTAGCTGAACTATACTACTGTCACTACGTACAGTAGGTTTGAGATAAGTTGTAAAATGTTGGATACAAAATTTTCTCACGATATTTTTAATATGGATAATATATAAAAAATTAGGGTACCACTTTGTATAAACTTACTTCCTATTGAATAATAATAAAAAAATTAAAGCGCAAGTCTCAGCTTAAAATATGAATAAAGGATTTTGACAGATCTTTAAGATATCGGAAAAATATTATATTTACCATGAGTATCTCTCTAGAAACTTTAGGGGGGCAATTTAGAACGACCCTGTACGTAAAGATTAGAGACTGATATATGCAACATGTAAGAGCTACCTCTACTTTTTTTTAAAATTTTCCAACTTTCTAGTTATCATTTAATCCCTGTAAACAAATTCATGTATTTTCATGAATGTCCAACATTGTTCATTCAAAATATACAAATATTTCTTTTTTTTTTAGCATAAACCGAAAATGTAATTTACTACTTTTATTAGATCAAGAAATATATATCTTACCTGTCATTGGATTAGAATGGTTATAACACCATCCACAGCTAAGAGAACTAAGACAAATAGAACAGTTGGAATGCATTGAACATGTTTTGCATTGTTCCAGAGTTTTTGTAGTTGGCAACATACTACTTTCTTGTCTCGTAACCAATGGAAAAGCTTGGTCTAACCATTCCCGGCATAACCCAAACTGATATTCACTGGTATATATTGAAAAACTAAAACACTGTTGTGTTGCTTGACACCACACACATCTCCCTTTTTGATCTAAACAGGAACTACAAGTACTTCTCTTATAACAAGGAATAGGACACTGGTTTATTTTAGTGGCAGCGTCAGACCTTTGTCCCATTCTTGCACAACGTGCTTCTTCTATCCACCATTCACAAAGTTGAGATTTAATGCAAGAGTCACAAGTAATATAGTTTGAACAGTTCGAACAACTGCTTGGTTGAAGAGTCAAATACTGCCAATTTTCATTAAAATTACAACTGATATTTTCAATCTCAGATCGAGACCGACAAAAATTAGTTAAATCACACCAACCGCATTGAGAATCTGTTAGACAATGCAAGCAGTTGAAATACTGATGACAAGAACCATTTGCATAGGGTTCAAGATATTCAAAAGTAAATGCCTAAAATAAATAAATAAATAAATAAATAAATAAATATATATATATAATTTTAAAGTATAGTCGGGTATGCAGTCAAAGCCATTTGAACCGTTAGTCTTTAGACTTTGTTCTAAACTTGGTAAATTTTTCGATTTAAATCTCAATTTTGTAAGTATAAGTTAGATTATTACTTGTGGTTGTTACCAATATATATTCCATTGTAGTTTCTCCTGAGGAAGGAATAATTTGTTCCGAAAGCTCGAGTAATAAAAAAGAGTACACTTCAAGTTGGCTTTGACTGCATACCCGACTATACTTTAAAATTTTGTTAGTTAACTTAGACAGTCGTCTAACGCTTTGGCAATATATATATTGTTACAATTAATATTTGGTTTTGTATATTGAATTTAATTTTAGTTTTTAATTTTAATTTATGTGTTTAATGTATTGAGTGTTGCGTTTTTTTTTTGCTTTTGTTTTATTTCTGTAATTATTATTTAGATTTTACTGTACATTGTTTAAATACAACTTTCTTTTCTTTCTTACCTCGTATATCTAATTATTTTTTTTTTATACCCTTGCTAGCTGCCACTTAGATTTTGTTTAAGTCTAATCTCAGGAGTCGGTTCACTTTCTTTACTTCAGGACTTGTAGCATACAGAACAAGAAAAAATCGAATTTTTAAGAATTTACAATATTTATATTTTTCTTTTAAAAATTTATCAGTTATCGTGATTATATCATAACAAAAACAAAATTAGAAAATTTTTAAATTGATTGGCTTTTCCTTCAGAAATATTTTCATACAATTTAATTTCTAATTGAACAAATATAAAGAATATTTTAGTTGCTATTACTTTTCCTTATCCTATTACAACTTTTACAATACAAGAGCTCGGTAGTTTTTTTTTATTTCTTTTCAAAAATTTTTTGTTTTGAATTATTTATGAATTCTACTTTCAACACTCGCTCGTATATTGTATTGCATAACTTAAATATCTACTCTTAATAGTATGAAATTGACATTTAATTACAAATGGCCGTCAATGTTCGAGATTATTTGAGCTCATTCAAATTAGTATGGTTTTAAAAGCTGGTTTTGGGATTTATTTATCTTTAGCTTTATCCAGGTAAGTCCTGTTATTTAGTTTGACCTTTTTTTCTTTTATAAGGTAAACTATATCACAATTTCATTGTTTAAGCTATAGCTGTGAATTTTTATTTATTTTGTGCACTTTATTTTTATTTTTAAAGGTACCTGTTGTTCGTTGGGTTCTGCTTTCCTTGTTGGATGCTGGATGCTGGTGGGTTTTTTTATACCAATTATGGGCCACTGGAATACTCTCGATACTGCCTTTTTATGGGTTACAAAAATTTTCTTGCCTGATGAATTTCTTTGTAGATTTTGAAGATAAACGATTTTTAAGATCACTGGTAAGTTTTATTTTACTTTCTGCCTGTTATATCTTGAATATTATATGATTTTTCTGAGCTACTTCTAATATCTGGCTTCTTCCCAATCAAAACCAAGCCGTAACTAACAATAAACAATTGTTTTTTCCACCTTCTGGAAGTTTCTAGTGTTTCCTTTTTCATTAAGGTCCCTTCACATAGTTTCCAGTCTTTGGGCATACCTTTTTCACTACACTTTCACCTCACTACTTACATCTAATACATTTGTGACAATGTCTTTTTATTTCTAACATATAAATTTAGTACTTTTTGTGAAATATTCTTTATTTATGTTCTTTCTTTTGTAGGTCATATTCTGGTTCTTGTAAAGCCAACTTTAGTTTTGACATGTGCTAAATTTTATAATTTAATTTGACATTTGATATTAAAATTTCATCATTGTATTCAGTTGATTGAAAATATCTTCTCTACATCTAATCGTCTACCTAATTTATGCATATCATATTCATCTATGGATATTTGTCTTTCTTTTGATATATGTCACACTGGGTTTAAATTCTGTTTTCTTACTATACTGGGTCTGGCAATTATCGATGTCATGTTTTTTTTTTCAAATTATTTTTGCACTTATGAGTTAAATTTAAAATTATCTCCTTTATACTATATGATATTCTTATTTGATACTTATTTTATATTCAGAGTCTTTGTATTAACAATTTTATGCTATTTTATTGTCTGCTATATTTTAATTAATTTTATTTTTGATCTAAAGTTCGGTCAGGTAATATTTCCATTGTGATAAATTTTTTTGTGTATTTCCAATTTGTTACAATTTATATCAGGACGTTTCGTTCCTAATCAGGACACGTCAAGAAAGAAATCGCTGCTGTTTTTTATCCTTTTTTTTAACTGACTATCACACCAGAACCCAAATCCCAAGAAAATAAATATATTTTAATATTAAACAAAAGGTTCAAGAAAATTTCAACTTTATATATATATATATATAATCTTCTTATTAGTGGGATTAAAGCCTATTTTTTAGATGAAACTCTTTTAATTATAATTTTAATTATATTTACAAAAGCCACGAATATCTTTTCTATATATATACCAAAAAACAATATATTTTGGGGATGTCGTCAAATGGTGGTTGAAAGAAAACTCTTTTTTAACTTAAACCAAGTTTTCGATAATTATTTATTATCTTTCTCAAGGTTAAAATGGCTAAAATGTACAACAAAACATTAATATAATGAAATAATTACATAAAATGGGCACTTACTTCAGTTGACAGAGTTACATCATAAAACTTAAACGAATATAAAATTTTATTTTCATTGTTCTGAACAGCTGTCTAGGCTCGACTGAATAAAATTTTAAACGTAAAATAAGTCTACTAAGTATTAATCTTATCACAGACAGGCAGGGAGAAAAAACTGGAATTTAATTTTTCTAACATTATAAAAAATTTAAAAATTATGAACAATTATAAATACACAATGTCAATTTTGTTTAGATAATGACAACAAATATGAGTAATTCATAACTAAATTTTGTGTATCTCTTTTTCTATTTAACGCATCATCATTAAAGGCTGCTTCAAAAGCTTCCAAAAAAATTCTTTTATTATAATTATTTTCTGCACAAATCACCTTTGTTTCACTAAAATTTGGTTTATGTTCTGTTTCAATACTATGCCCTGCCAAAGCACACGACTGTTTTTTAATCTAATATCACTCTTATGTGATGTTATTCGATCCTATAGTACCCTAGACTCAAAACATACAAAAAAAATGAAAATAAATTTGGTGTTGGCAATGAAAACAAGAATACAAAGAATCAGCCATCCTAGTCTAGTGGACAAAAATTTAAAGATACTATACAACATTTTTTAAAATAATTCTTACCCACGTTTTTTTTTTAAAAAGGTTAATTTTTAATACAAATAATCAACTCACTGTAATTAATCCCACAGGTGTTCCTGAACATAATATGCAAGATAATAATAACAATGATAGTAATAGTGATCAATCTAACCAACTGGCCCTTTATGCCTCTATTCCTTTTATTGAAAATGTTACCCCAAATTTGTTAAATGTTTTTAAAAATGAAAAATCATATTAAATTAACATAAAAATATACAAAAAAAAAAAATTGGCAATATAAGGAGCGTTCAAATAAAAACGTGGTCGAAGTTGGCTCTGACACATTGGACGTAGGGAGTAGCTTATAGCGACCAACTTAACCTCATTTCTCAACGAGCTGTATAGCAGCTGTCAGTTTCAATAACGTTAATGACTATATAACCTTATTTTAAAGAATAATCGTGATAACAATAACAAACAATTAAAGGAGCTGCGGAAAGTGTCCCCCTCCTTGTTATAACAATAAATTAAAACAGCTGCTGAAAGTGTCCCTCTCCTTGTTCCAAGCACTTTTCACACCTGTTCCTCAAAGAATTAAAAGACATTTTCTAAGATGCTCGGGGTATTTTTAATTTCACGAATCTTGTCTATAAGTCGAGCCTGCAGATGGTTTAAATCAGGAATAGGCAGTTCAAAAATAGTGTTTTTAAGGTAAGGCCACAAAAGAAATCACACGGCGTAATATCACAAGACCTCGGTGGAAATTATTCAGCATTGAGACTTATTAGTCGATTTTGGAAAACTTCCCTCAACATATTCATCGTCTCGCCTGCCGTATGTGCCCTTGCGCCATCTTGTTGAAAGTAAAAGTTTGTAATTTCGTTTTCTTCCAGCTGGTTAACAAAAGGAGCGATAATTTCTTCTCTATACCTTTGCGCAGTAAGAGTACCATTAAAAAAAATAGGTCCATAAATCCTCCTTCGATTGAGAGCACATCAAACTCCAATTTTTTGAGCGTGTAGAGGGCCCTCGACAAAAAAGTTATCTGGTTTTTCAGAAGACCACATTCTCATATTCTGTGAGTTTACGTAACCACTTAAATGAAACCAGGCTTCATCAGAAAAAAAGGTGATATTATGAAGTTCACCGTACTTAGTTGTTTAAAAACCATTCACAAAATACAGCCCGTCGCGGAAAATCAACTTCATGAAGTTCTTGCTGGCAAGTTAAACGATAGGAGAACAAACGCAAATCTTTTTTTAACACTGTGTGGCAGGTACCGACTGATACTCCCACCATTTGTGATAAAACACGTACAGAAGTTCTTGGCGCATTTTCCATTATTTGTTTTATTTTCTTTTAATTCTTCAGTCCGCTTTTTAGGTCGGCCGCTTCCTTCTTTTCTTGTTACACTGCCCGTTTCACGAAAAACATAACACAACGCTGAACTGCACTTTGAAAAATTTGTACTCAACAACACCGGCAAATTGATTTTGAATTTCTATGAAACATTCCTCAATAGAATACTTCCATATTCCATCAATCTTGCGTCCATTTCTAAAGTAGGACTCTATGATAAACACTTTTTGTTCTTGAGAAAACACCATTTTAAACGNTGTATATTTATAATTGTTCATAATTTTTAAATTTTTTATAATGTTAGAAAAATTAAATTCCAGTTTTTTCTCCCTGCCTGTCTGT